ATAAATTCAGTCTCAAAAAACACAAAAGCTTGTGTAAAAATACTAAAACAATTATTCGCCTCAGGCTCGGTGATTATCGGGGAATATTCACCTCGACTTCGTCTCGGCGAATATCCCCTGATAATCACCTCGCCTTCGGCAAATAATTGTTAAATATTGGTGACATATTCATAGGAAAACACATGGTGGTCAACTTTGCACGTTTGTCGCTTTGTATTCCTTGTGGAAGCGAGCAACTTTTCTTAAATGTTCTGTATTTGGTATTGAATACAAGGTGAATTAATATAATGAATCATGAACTCAGTCCAATATTGGAGTTGACAACCAAGTGCTAAAGTGTCACATGATTCAGATTGAAACCCAACTATATGGTCGCATCACTGTTTAATAGATAGTTTAGTCTGTTACTAGTCACTCTTTGAATCTGCCTTGTGCAATTGGCCAATTAGGATTTGAATCGCGTAGTCCGGCTTGGCTAATTGACTATTAGTGCAACACATGGAGTACCTTAGTATTAACATATAAACTAATAAATATTTACTAATAGTTAGTAATAATTATTAGTTAGAAATATTAATAATATTTTATTGCTTTAGGGAATGATTTTATTCATCAAGGGGAGTCTTGCAACTTAAAGGCCCATCTACACGATACGACTAGTCGTATATATAAATTGAACTATAAGTAAACTGGAAGGCTAACTCAGGGGGGGGGGGGATTAAAGCCGTGCTTTGTAGGTAGTGCCAGTCCTTTTTTGCAAATTTCTTTTGAAAAATACACTTTATGTATCGATAAATTTTACCCCTTTAATTTCATTTACCCCTTTCCCTTTTCATTTTAGAGCATACTAAGTACTTCACTCAAGTATATACTTACAATAAACAAACATCGTTCAACTGCTAAAATATTACAGGGCAAAAACAAAATTTGTCAAAAACCGCGCAAAATTTGGGACTGTCAAAATGTTTTATAGTATGCTTTTTTCGAGTTGAAGATAGAGGTTTCCCGCGGCCAAACAAAAGTTCGTCATTTTTCAAAATTGAAAATAAAAAAGCAAAACTCCTCACTTTTTGCTGCGAGACATGTAAAACAGTCGGAACTAATCGGAAAACCTGGTTTGAATCCCAATCATAGCAGTATTCCCATGGAAAAAGTGTTTTTCTTGCACATTTTTGCTCGAGAACAATTTTTGATCGAATTTTTTCACTCCTCGAAACTCGCCTTAGTCCTTTTGAAAGCTGATTTTCCCACGCGTCGGCTTCAATGAATCATAGGCCTTCATCATAGGAGTTAGCCTTCCAGTTTTCGTATAGTTCAATGGTCGTATACGATTCTTATTATTATGGCGTATGTACTCGAATAAATGCATGTAAATATGTCACATTTCAAATTTCGCCACGAACTGATGAACAGGAATAGCGGCGTCAGCAATCGTTTTCATACGCCAGGATAAGAATCGTATACGACTAGTCGTATCGTGTAGATGGGTCTTAATGGGTTAATGAATCAGTTGGTTATTACAACCGATTTCAACTTAATTCATATTTAACATTCACTTTAACCCATTTACTGGCAGTATACTCTACCACTGACAAGTAATTAATCGCCTGGCGTTAGACAGAGTAAATCTAATTAAGTAGGGCACATTTGGGCACATTGTAGGGTTGCACCGGAACCAATTTTTTTAAGTTCCGGCCGGTACTGGAGCAGACTGGAACTGTAATTATTAAGCCATATATAGTCATAGGTTACTTTGTCCGCTGCCAGACAGGCAGACACCTCAAGTCATCAAGGAGAGAGCTCGCAAATGTTATAGAATAAAAAGACTGACAAACGTTAAACGTCATAGTGAAGTGTTAATAGTGTACATTTCCCTTGCGTAGTCCAAATTTCTTCCCACTGTGAACTTTTGTTAGACACAAAATATTTCAACTTTTTTGTTCCTATAATCGTAGTTTCCATAGTTTATTACGTATATGCAGTTCACGATAGGACTCAGAGTAAATAACATCCATTCTGAATATTTAGGCTACACAATGTCTTACACCAACTACAGTATAAAGTAACAAATTAAATGTTGGATAGGGATCCTAAATTTTCTAAATGAAAGTAGATAGATAGCTAGATAGAGGATTTATTTCTTAGGTGGGGGCATCTTGAAAATAAAGGTCTTGCGATTGGGGCAGCTCCAAAAAATGTTCAATATTTGATATCTATCACACACCGGCCCCCATCCATGCACTAAGATTTACTATATAATTCTAAAGCACATGTATCTTTCGATTCGACCTTCATGAAGACATAACATATTATTATATGAGTGTAGTACTGCAGTAAATCGATAAAGGTTTTATGTATGCATAATTTGGATCTTTCATGAATCTTGCACACACGGTATTCGTATGAATATTTATAAGACAAATTTACATATTGAAATTAGTTCACTTACCAAAAAGTGCATTTGATTTGATACATCTCCAACAACTACTTGTTTTTATTTTGTACTCTTCAAATTTCTCAAGCATTTCTGCTTGTGAAGCGCAAACAAGCACCCATTCACTATCGCTATACTCTTCGATGGAAGCCATATTGCGTTGGTTTCGCACGTTATTTTTTCAATTTCGCGCACTAATTTATTTGAATTTTAAAGATGGAATACCGCTGACTCGTATGTATTGCAATTTCAGATTTGTACGTATCTTGGCTATGATCTAGTGCCGACTTTTTCGACGTTATGTGCATGGGCGAGTACATGGCTCTGTCTAAGTAGTTGTTTTTCATTTTGAAAGGACGTATTTTGCTGTTTTACAGCAATTTTTTGTTTTAAACTTCGTTAAAAAGTTTACAAAAGTGCAACACGGTTTTTTTTCTCGATTTTAACTGGAAATAAGCCTGCAGTTTCATAAATTAGTGGCTATTCAACCGTGAAACAAAGTTTGTATAATAATTGTTTTGATGTGTTGATGTTGATGCAGGGCCTTTTTTAACATACAAGCTGGGGGGGCATTTGCCCCCCCAGTCCCCCCTTGTGCCCCCCCCCACGAAATCACATTTTGCCCCCCCCCCCAGGAAAAGTCCCTTTTTCCTAAATGTATACCAACAAAACAGCGAAGAATAACAAATAAATAAACGGAAAGTAAGTTTTAGGCTTTATCCTTTGTCCTTGTTTAACAAAATCGATCTAAATTGTTACGTTTTTCTACCACTAAGTAATGATAAATTATTGTTAATAATTTTCTATTTTTTGGTTGCTCAGAATGCAGGAAAGAGCATTTCCAGGTTTCAAATTTGAAAATTTTTCAGGAGATTATGCCCCCACACACGTGGCCTTCGGCCATTTGTATCCCCCTCTAATAAGTATAATGATAAATTACAGTTAATATTCTTTTTTACTTTTTGTGCATTTTTTCCTTCTTTTATTTCAAATACAAGTATAGTTAGCATAAATTTTAGAGCAAATTTGGATGCTCAGAATGCAGGAATTTGCATTTCCGTGTTTCAAATTTTAAAAATTTTCTGGGGGAGTGCACCCCCACACACGTGACCATTGGGATCCTCCTCTAATAAGTAATGATAAATTATGGTTAATATTTGTTTAAACTTTTTGTGGGTTTTTTCCTTCTTTTATTTCAAATACAAGTATAGTTAGTATACATTTTGGAGCGCATTTGGATGCTCAGAATGCAGGAAATGGCATTTCTGTACTTCAAATTTCAAAAATTTTCTGGGGGAGTACCCCCCGTTCATGCGTGCATGGTATGCTCGGCGCACACGTGGCCTTCAGCCAATGCTATTTCCCTGTAATATATTATCCCACAGAAAGGTCCCTTTTCAAAAAATGCCCCCCCCCCACGGGAAAATCCTTAAAAAAGGCCCTGTGTTGATGTTTTTGATAATTTAATCGTTGTTGTGCCAGTTTGGGTAAGTGTAAACATTTCAGTAGTAAAATTTCATGCCGTATATGCATGAAATACCAGTGAATGTTATCGTTCATTATAATTTATATAAAGCTAGCGCATCAGTTGTGTTTTTATGTTTGTTTATAATGGTCTTGATACTTTATGTGGAGTTTTTATACTTCATCTGTTAAGAAAGGCGAGGGGTTGCTGCATGCATGTATTTTCTAGTATAGCATTTGATAACTACTATATTAATAGTCAATAGTCATCAGAACCAGTGGGTTCTAGCTCTGAAGTCCTTAATAATATATCCTATACTTTGCCGGTGCACTCAAATTCGAAAAACTGTACATCTGCATACTATACTTAGAAAGTACATCTAGTTATTAGATCAACTACCTGAAAAACACAAATAAGATGTTTCGAGCGTTTCGAGGCCCTTCGTTGGGTCTTATTTTTCAGGTTGTTGAATCCCTCTAAATCCACAGCTTTCTGATGTTACTGTCACCACATATACGCTGGTACAGACCATACGAGTTTATATCATCTAGTTGTTCATTTATTTCCGCTACTTTTATATTTAGGTGGTCATTTGGTATTTTACTTTGGGAACTTTTTACATTAGGTGAGTGACAAGGTGACTACCATGCAGAAACCTGGCAGCTACAGGATGAAAAACCACTACGGTGTTTGGTAGGGTCAAAATGGAGGCACTCTTCTTTGTGGCTCGTCATTCCCGTCCCTATATAGAGCCATTTTCACTCGCTCACTCGTTGAAAATTAGGCTCTGAGTTAGACGACTAAACGGATAGATCTGATTAGCTTCTCAGAGAACTGCTCAGATTTCGCAGAAGTTGAGCATTTTTCGCTAAGCATAAATATTCTATCAACATATGTCAACACAAATGCTTCGTTTAAAAGCGTCCCAATTCAAGAGCATCGCTTTAGAAACTACTGCAAGTTTCTTGCACTTCCGATTCCGTGTGTCCCAGGGCCTAGGGAGGACGCGCGCGGTCGAGAGACCCAGGGGACGAGGATGAGTGGCTCCTATACTAATTGTCGAATAGTGACGTTAATCAGTTATTTTGTGTTTTTTCAACAGGTGGGATGCCTTATCCAGGCATGCACGCTAATGAAGTATATCAATTATTGTTGAATGGAAAACGAATGGATCCACCTATGTATTGTCCTGAAGAAATGTAAGACACTATTTTATCATTGTACGTAACCAAACAAAAGATAGGCATGCTCAATTTATGTGAAAACATGCATGTATGCAAAACCCCCTCGCCTTTGCTAGAACCAAACGCGATCATTTTGAATATTTTGTTTCTTTGCATTTTTTATCAAGATAATTAAAATATTATCAGTTGTAATTACAGAAAAATTAATTTCCAAAAAAATACGGTTCGTATATATGTTATTATACGTAATATAAGCTTCTCTGTAAAATTCAACCTATACATGGTGTTCCAAAAAATGTCCCGTCTGTTGTTGGTTAATTGCTATAAGTTACAGTAATTAACCAACAACAGACGCCGGGGGCATTTTTTACATGGAACGCGTCGTTAAAACATTTTCACTGAATATTTAAATATTTTTATCGACAAAATCGTGCTTTATTGAAACCATGGGACTGGAAAATCATGTAATTGAATGCCCTCGTGAAAATAGATTCGCAATTGAATAGAGAAACGTCGATAACGTACTTTGATCTTTAGCTGTTCGATATATCATGGACGATTAATTATATGTCATATGTTTACAGCTGCAAAGTAATGTCTAAGTGTTGGAATGAATATCCAAAAGATCGTCCAAATTTTGAAAATTTGAAGGAAATGCTCTGGGAAATACTTGGTTGTGAAGAAATTACTCAGGTATGTCAGGAAAAATGTTCGAAGGGAAATGTTGAGAAAGCTTCGAATAGATAATTAAGGATGCAACTACCTAAAAAATGCAAGGAGATCTAGAACTTCGTTTGGAGCGAAAGTCCTTCGTCGGGATGTTAAGTATAGTGACGAAGGGCCTTCTCTTGAAACGTCAAAGTTCTCTTTGTATGTTTTAGGTAGCTATTTGCATCCTTATCAATCCAAAGCTTTTTTAATACTTTTTTAACTACAAAATTTCAAATAATAAATTTGAAATTTAAATTGTTATATGAATAAATCTCGATAACATGCCGTTCTTAATTTTAATTTGAAGTGTCTATAGACAAGGACAATTGGACGAACAATTATATTTATAATTATATGTAATATAAGTGCATAGAAAACCTTGCTATATTAATCTAATCTAATTGCCGATTATAATTTTTGTCTTTGAAAACTATACATTTAGTGATATTTTTGACACGCCGTTTTCATGCGAAAACACGTCGACTTGGTACACGAACCACTCAAAGTGCAAAATTAATGATCAGTAATTTAGTCATAATTGAAAGGGTATCGAGCCATTTAAATGACGCCAATTCTGGGCGGGTATATTATAGAATCAATCGATTCGGCAATAAGCGTGTAATTGCATCAAAACAATATTTAAGCCTGCATGCATAGTTTCCATATGCATGGTCGCAACTGTCGCGAACGCGTCGTGAAGGTGAAGTATTTGTCGTGAATGGTTTTTATGCTTATTTGGATTTTTGTGGTTGTAACTGTTGTGACACTGTCACAAGTTAACTTCGTACACCCAGGGATCGTGCAAGCAACTGGCGGCAGTTTTAAAACGACAAACACGGTCTTCCCAAATGGCATCCCAAGATCAATGGGAAAATTTTTATACCAAAAAGATTCAGAAAAACTGTAAAACGACCCTTTTATAATTTCTTGAATGTCTCTGGCAAATGTTTTATTATGACTTTTTTCTATTGTTTTTAATAGGTGTTGCAACAAAACGAAAAGAGTGTGGATACTTTGAATTCACCTAAAGAATCAGATTCGGTCAATGGACAAGATGACTATTTAAACGGACCATTCCCGGAAACTGTAGAAATGGGACCAATATAGCACATTTTTTCTTATTTGTTATGGAGTAGGTAGAAAGTTGATGTAAGGTCTGTGATATACATATAGATGAAGCATGGCCAAAAATCACGGACATGATTATTCCACTTCCTTACTAATTTGCATATAACCCATTGAAATATGACTTCTGCTGTAACAATAAATTATATTATACGATGCTGTAAATCCGGCAAAATCAGAGAATACGGGAGATCGTTTGCAATTTCCCTCAATTGCCGGTGGCAGACAGGGGTGGCGCTAAAGGGGTAGGGGGTGGAACAATTAATCCCAGTCATCAGGTAGTCGGCACAATATTGCATATACAGGGTGTATCAGAAAGATAAAGAAATTTGGTGCACGGGTAGGCCAACGCGAGATCTTTAAAACCTGGGTTTCCTCTCATTTTCTTAGTTCAAACGCGATTTCTTTGCATGATTTCAAATTAATTTTATGCATGCTCGGATGTTTGCATAAATTACAGTACGAAATTTTCAAGCCAATTCTCAAAGACCTTTTTACAAAATTATTTACATGCAGTGTTTATTTACAAACAAAATCAATCTTCAACGTAGGAGTGCACGTAGAACGTAGAACGAAATTGAGGGCACGTTGAAGATTATCTTGTTACACAGATCTTAACTAACCTGCGATCAGGCTCTTAAAATTGGAAAGAGAGCCTGATACAAAAGCTTGTTAAACCGCATGTGCCGACAAAAGTTCCGTACCAAATTTTGGAGTGAAACGCTGATTGGTCAATATAAAATTAAACTCGAATAAACTTCCGGTTACTTCCCTACCTATTGGAAAATATCGACCGCCCAAAATTGTAAACTTGGAAGTTTCAGTTTACCCATTTTGTCTTATAAATAGAAACCAGGCCTGAATAGAAACACTTACGGAGGACTATAATAAAGCTTCAAAATAACACTCGAAAATCGTATACAATTGAAAACCCTTTATCCCCGAGCCGACGGCGCGAAGCGCCGTGCGATGGTACTAATTCTTCCCGGCTATTTACACCCGGGGAAACGAAAGCATTAGCGAAGTCTAAAGTTCATCAAATATCGCGGGCGTGGGTCACTGTGCGTGGGTGGTCATCCTCACTGATCTCAAAAATAAGGCGGACTGTCATGAATAGCGGACACTGATTGGTCCAATTTAAAGTTTGCATTATAACGACTGCATGACGACAGCGAAACAGCAAACATTTCTTGATTTGATGATTGATAAATTTCTTGCAAATATATCTTATTTTTGCTCGCATTTTTACAAGATTTTGTAAATTTCAAGAAAGAAAAGACGAAAGAATGGGCTAAAAGAAGGGAGCCGACGTTAACAAAGGTAAGTTTGTTTTAAATATTTATTTTATAATTGTTTTAAAACCTGACCCCCGAGTATATGATAAAGTACATTTCTTGCAAGTTGTATTTTAGCAAGATTTTGTAAATTTCAAGACCTTTCTGAGAGCCAAAAACGTCTAAAAACGTCTAAAAGAATAGAGCAAAGTCGCCGACGTTAACGAAGGTAAGTCTGTAACAGTTTTAAATATTGATGTATTGTTTGTCTTATAATTGATATATTTATAACTGATAGTGGTGGGCGATACGGCGAATATCGAACTAAACCTATCATTGCGTATATAAGTGAAAAAAGACAGCATATAATTTCAGTGTAGTTTTATTAATTACCTTTTCTTTTGTATATTAAAGTATTTCAATAAAGAGGAAAGCAAAGTTATTTTCATGCGAGAATTTGAAATCAGCTTATTTCAAACTCAATGTTTACCGATAATTCGATAAAAGACCGTTTAGTTTTGAGAACATTTTAAAACGTTTTGCGAAGAGTTTGTGGTTGAATTTTACATTAAATTGATGCTTATATTACGTATAATAACATACCTGGCATACATATGTTTGGGAAATTGATAATTTTGTTATTAAAAGTGATATTTTGGGGGGATTTTTCAATTTTAAAACCAGGTTTAAAACTATTCTTAAAATTATCGTGTTACCATGACAACTACATACTTTCAATTCTTCATAATATTCAGAAAACATAACGTTTTGTCAGTAAGGCGAGGGTTTCTGCATGCATGTATTTTCTAGTATAAAACTGTAAAGTATAACTACAAAAATTTCAAAACCCTGTCTTAAAACTATCTCGAACCATGTGTTTTGTTCTGTTCAAAACCCCAGATGTCGCATGATATTCACACGCGTGATACCCACGCACTATTCACGTGCAAAAACAATGTAAACAATATATATAGTGTCAATCGTCAGTACACTCCCCCAAAGTTTACTAACGCATGCAGTTATAAACTTTCAACGATAACTAATGTCTAAGTCGTCTTGCCATTTCTCCTACGATAGCAGCCGTTCGTCTTGGTCTTCCACCATTCGCTGCTGAATCTGAAGGTAGTTGCTCTTCGTCGATATGTCTGCCGGCCGTTTGTTCTACATCATCGTCCTTTGCCGCCACGCACGCACCCACTTCAATTGGAACAAGATGTTGAATAGCTCTTCTCGTTATATATACTTTACCATTCTCACCGCTGACTCGTAAAATTGCCGCCCTCACCTTCCGACGGCTCCAGGAAGCAACTCTTCGATTATTGCTAGTCGCCAGAACGCCCTGGGCGTTGAATCTGCTTTAATAATCACTACGTCTCCCTTCGCAACTTCCCTCGATTTGGAACTCTTCGATTTAATTGTTGATTGTTCTCGCAAACTTGTCAAATATTCACGACGCCATCGAGTTGTTAATTGGCGTAGCAAGTTCTTGTGATGACGAATTCGTTTGGTAAGAGAGTTATTCGTACTCACTACCTCGCGATGGGAACTATTAGGTTCAGTGGTTATTCGCCGTCCATAATGAGGTCTGTTAAAGGACATGAGACAGATTCATCATCCCCGTAAACATACGTTATCAGTCTTGCATTAATCACGACTTCAATCTCGGTGAGAATAGTTTGAAGCTCGTCAACAGAAAGGGAAGATTTGCCAATCACCTTCTTTAATGGTCGTTTCACACTTCGTACTAATCTTTCCCAAAATCCGTCCCACCACGGGGCCCGCTCTACGATGAATTTCCATGAAATACGCTTTTCTGCTAGAAACTGTTCTACTTCTGGTGAACGAACAATTTTCCTTAATTCCTTGTCTGCAGCCTTAAACGACTTCGCGTTGTCAGAAAGGAGTGTTGCTGGTAGTCCCCGTCGGCTCACAAACCGTTTGAACGCCAATTCAAGAAGGCTGCAACACTACGACCTCGAGTTAGTTCTAGGTGCGCTGCTCTGGTTGAGGCACATGTAAATAGCAATACGTAATGTTTTTCAGAATTTGTCTCTTGCGCACTCGAACTTCTGTCTCGCCGACGATTAACTACGTAGAGAGGCCCAGCGAAATCCAGGCCAGTATGGGTGAAAGGTGGATCATCCGCAACTCGCGAACTCCCGGAAGATCAGGTGATGGTGGGGCCTTGAATGGGGTACCTGTTCAAAACTTTCTCTATATTTTCTGGCCCTACGTAGGACCCAAAAACGCTCTCGGATCGTGGTTAATGCAGATCGAACGCTACTATGTTTCGTTGAGTTGTGCACATTTAGGATCAACAATTCAACAAGGTGATTCTTGGATGGCATGAATAACGGATTCTTGCAATTGTTTGGTAAAGATGAATTGTTAATACGTCATTTAATACTCAATGGCTGTGAACAGCGTTGTGAACGACGGCAACACAAACAACTATACTGAACTCGATCTCACTCTAAATGTCTCCACTTATATTTGGCAGAAATACGGAAAATATCTTGAATGCTGCGAAGACAGAAGAGTAAAATGGTTAGGGGACTTAACTTATCTAAAGGATTTTGTGTCAAGTTTGTACGGCAATGTCGGCAAATGGAATTCTCCTGGGGGATCAGCAAAGTGTTTTCGGCACGATCAAATTTGCCTAACCTGGTATGCAAATAAAAAGTCTTTGCTTTTTCAAGGTGAGGAGGGAAATAAACTAAAAGATCTGATTATAAAATGCTATAAAAACAGTGATTTGGCGCATGACCATGCCAATACATGCGAACAAGAACCTATCGTATTAGTCAACAACGGTAGACGAGAGTCACCAAATGAGTGTCAAAATTGTAGTCGTCTGTTTGCAGAAATGACTGAAGTCAATCGCAAAATTGATGGGCTGCATGAGATTGTCAATAATCTCTATCAGTTGAATACAAAGTTTGTAAATTATGAATATTCTAGAAATGACGACAAACGAAGTACTTGTGAACTGGGCACGCAAACTGATCTGTACTCGGAGCAGAGTGTTGCTCAACACCCATCCGTCATACAGACTGCTGATATCAACTTGGCTACCGAAATAGAAGGCCTCAAGTTAGACTTTGTAATTATAGAATCGAAAACTGCGAGAGATTTGAGGCTAACAGACAAGCGATAGAACAGCTTCGAGGCGAGCTAGCGACCGTAGGGGAGAAGATTAGATGCTCCCAAGGGTGTCGTGTACTGCCTAATGATAATGCTAAAGAAAAGTTAAATATTCAACCCAATTAAGCTTTCAAACACCAATAAACGTTCATGCTAATCATGGTAACTCTAATTCAATTCAACCATGCGTTACTCACTCACCAACAAATTGCGCCGAAAAAAAATCAAATTATTCAACTCAGCCAAGTGCACAAACATCAACAATGTGTGCGCACGCAATTGGTGATTTCAAAATCCG